TAACTGTAGCTCCTATTGTCTAACTGTAGCTCCTATTGTCTAACTGTAGCTCCTATTGTCTAACTGTAAGTAAGTAAGTAGTAGTAAGTAATCTTTATTTATATACCGCCTTTTCACTGCAGATCTGAGTCTCAAAGCGGTTTACAATTGTTAATTTTTTTGGGCATTTGTCTCTCACTCCACACAGAGATGGGAGCAGGGTCGCCAGTACAGGAGGCGCCTGTACTAATGCCAGAACTATTGGACATATTTTTAGTGGTAGGGGAAACCGGAGTACCCGGAGGAAACCGACGCAGACACGGGGAGAACATGCAAACTCCACTCAGAAAGGCCCTGGTCCGACCGGGATTCGAACCCAGGACCTTCTTGCTGAGAGGCGAGAGTGCTATCCACTCAGCCACCGTGCCGCCCTGTAGCTCCTATTGTCTAACTGTAGCTCCTATTGTCTAACTGTAGCTCCTATTCTACAACATGTATGACACACCTCACACACCTCAGACCTGGACCTGGACCTAAACCTCAGACCTGGACCTAAACCTCAGACCTGGACCTAAACCTCAGACCTGGACCTAAACCTCAGACCTGGACCTCAGACCTGGACCTCAGACCTGGACCTGGACCTGAGACCTGGACCTCAGACCTGGACCTCAGACCTGGACCTCAGACCTGGACCTCAGACCTGGACCTGAGACCTGGACCTGGACCTGAGACCTGGACCTCAGACCTGGACCTGGACCTCAGACCTGGACCTGATCCTCAGACCTGGACCTGGACCTGGACCTCAGACCTGGACCTAAACCTCAGACCTGGACCTGGACCTCAGACCTGCACCTGGACCTGGACCTCAGACCTGGACCTGGACCTCAGACCTGCACCTGGACCTGGACCCACAGAGATGAACCTTCTCCATAATCGTGTCATAAAAGCATTGGGCTGTTTCTGAGCCACTGCTTTTACTTTTACTTTTACTTTTAGGTATAAACTGACTGAAGTCTGGGGACCGTTGGATGTTTTTCTCTCTGAACTTCATTCAAACAGAACCATTGTGTTTAAATTGAGCCGTGCCAAAGCCAAAGGTAATCTGGGGTCAGCGACATCACAACCTCCTGCTGCTCTGTCCGAGGAGCATCTCTTCATCAAAGCACATTTCATTTCTTACTCTGTTTTCAGTCCTCTAGTACTGCTTCAAAAACACAAACACAGAGTTTTTCTCCAGGACAGAGTGAGTGTGACTCTGAGAGAGCGATACCGAGGTTTGAGGTGGCTCTGGACTCACTGAAGGTCACAGGAAGTATCAGTGACAGGAAGTGGGCTGTGCCAGGTTCAGGCTGGGTTACCACGGCGATGGATGCTCTTAAAGCCACGGCGCACACATACACACACCAAACACAGAGTCACGCAAGAGGATATATGACAAATACTGTAAAGTTATTCAATGAGCTGTTTTTATCTAAGTTCCACTGATACCAGAAAACATGTAGCCCCACCCCTTCTGTCCAAATCTAGCTGCATTGCAAGTTCTGCCACTGCACTTGTCCCACTGTGACATCCTCACTTTCACATTATTCAAATTCTGTTTTGGGAGGGACTTTATTGATTGTTTGCCATCACTTCCACAATTTTAGCTTCTGATACATGTCACTTCTTTATGGCCACGCGCTGCAGGACTGTATCTACCCACACCTTTGAGGAAAATATGTATTTATTAATTGGTCCATGCCATAAAACATACTTACATCAGGTATAGTTCCTTTACATTTGAGTAAAGTATGTTTTAGACACTGAAACAACAGAGACAAACTATAAACAAACTCTCATTTACTTTCACTGGGATATTTTCCGGTTTTGTGTTTTGTTCAAACCATTAAACCAGTTTTCTGCTCCTGGTTTGAAACTGCAGACCAGGTGAGGTGTGATGTTTTCTGATGTGCATGTTGACGGTTTGACGTTGACAAGAGAAGATGTTTTGCCTCTTTGCACCTGTGCCGTCGTTCCCTTCCGTTCCCCTCTCAGTTGTGTAGAGTTGTGTTGCCACAGATGCTCGGTGCCGGGCTCGGTGCCAGGCTCGGTGCCGGGTCCGAGTGCCACCATGGATCCCACTCACTGTCAGAGGAAATACGTTTGCATTGGTCTTGGTCGTCCGTGGATCGTTCTGACACGTGGTATTGGAGAAACTGAGCTCTTCACAGATTGTACGAGCATTTCCCAAAGATGCCACGACCTGATCTGGTGTGCAGTAAATGTTGTGTTGCATCAGCAGAATAATGTCTAAAGGAAGTATTGTTTTCCTCGGGGCTGCAGTCACATGACCAGAGCCGTCCTCTGCAACTTATGGTGTCTCTGTCTCATCGGACTTCAGCTTCATACAGACTCTCCTGCTTTCATCTGGACGTTTATGGTTCACCATGAGAGCCCTTTATCATATTGTCCAGGGCTCACAGAATATATTATTCTCTGGAGATAGTGGATCTTGGATACCTAAATGGTTTTTTACACTCAATAATAAATATATATTACTATCAAATATTCTTATCACTTGTTCCAGCACGATCCACGATGCAGAGAAAGGTGGTATTCTTCTGTTCTGCGTTAAAGGAGTTAGTTTTACAGATTATTTTTCAGGTCTTTTGAGTTGGTTGTTTTCCAGACCTTGCTAACAGACACAAACCATGGTGAAAACATTACCCCATGGTGGAGGGAAGATCATATTAAATAATTGGCGTTGATTATAGCATTATTTGTAGACCATTTTGATTGTAACAGTTTGTGTGTGGAATATTTTCTGATTTAAGTACGCATCATTTCATTTGTATCGGTTTAGGCCAAGTTCCAGCCTGAGGTTCACTTCTCTTTTATGACAGTAAGTGTCCTGCATGAGTCACAGTGTGGGCGGGGCATTCAGGCGGGCTGTGTGACCTCTGACCCCTGGAGCAAAGAGGTCAAGCACAGGCTGGAACAGGCAGATGAACGTGTGATGAACTCTCCCCTGCTCTTCTCCCTGTACACCAACCACTGCACCTCCAGCCACGACTCCGTGAAGCTGATCAAGTTCGCGGACGACACCACCCTCATTGGACTCATCTCCAACAACGATGAGTCCGCCTACAGGAGGGAGGTGGACCGGCTGGTGTCCTGGTGTCTCCTACAGGAGGGAGGTGGACCGGCTGGTGTCCTGGTGTCTCCTACAGGAGGGCGGTGGACCGGCTGGTGTCCTGGTGTCTCCTACAGGAGGGAGGTGGACCGGCTGGTGTCCTGGTGTCTCCTACAGGAGGGAGGTGGACCGGCTGGTGTCCTGGTGTCTCCTACAGGAGGGAGGTGGACCGGCTGGTGTCCTGGTGTCTCCTACAGGAGGGAGGTGGACCGGCTGGTGTCCTGGTGTCTCCTACAGGAGGAGGTGGACCGGCTGGTGTCCTGGTGTCTCCTACAGGAGGGAGGTGGACCGGCTGGTGTCCTGGTGTCTCCTACAGGAGGGAGGTGGACCGGCTGGTGTCCTGGTGTCTCCTACAGGAGGAGGTGGACCGGCTGGTGTCCTGGTGTCTCCTACAGGAGGGAGGTGGACCGGCTGGTGTCCTGGTGTCTCCTACAGGAGGGAGGTGGACCGGCTGGTGTCCTGGTGTCTCCTACAGGAGGGAGGTGGACCGGCTGGTGTCCTGGTGTCTCCTACAGGAGGGAGGTGGACCGGCTGGTGTCCTGGTGTCTCCTACAGGAGGGAGGTGGACCGGCTGGTGTCCTGGTGTCGCCTACAGGAGGGAGGTGGACCGGCTGGTGTCCTGGTGTCTCCTACAGGAGGGAGGTGGACCGGCTGGTGTCCTGGTGTCTCCTACAGGAGGGAGGTGGACCGGCTGGTGTCCTGGTGTCTCCTACAGGAGGGAGGTGGACCGGCTGGTGTCCTGGTGTCTCCTACAGGAGGGAGGTGGACAGGCTGGTGTCCTGGTGTCTCCTACAGGAGGGAGGTGGACCGGCTGGTGTCCTGGTGTCTCCTACAGGAGGGAGGTGGACCGGCTGGTGTCCTGGTGTCTCCTACAGGAGGGAGGTGGACCGGCTGGTGTCCTGGTGTCTCCTACAGGAGGGAGGTGGACCGGCTGGTGTCCTGGTGTCTCCTACAGGAGGGAGGTGGACCGGCTGGTGTCCTGGTGTCTCCTACAGGAGGAGGTGGACCGGCTGGTGTCCTGGTGTCTCCTACAGGAGGGAGGTGGACCGGCTGGTGTCCTGGTGTCTCCTACAGGAGGGAGGTGGACCGGCTGGTGTCCTGGTGTCTCCTACAGGAGGGAGGTGGACCGGCTGGTGTCCTGGTGTCGCCTACAGGAGGGAGGTGGACCGGCTGGTGTCCTGGTGTCTCCTACAGGAGGGAGGTGGACCGGCTGGTGTCCTGGTGTCTCCTACAGGAGGGAGGTGGACCGGCTGGTGTCCTGGTGTCTCCTACAGGAGGGAGGTGGACCGGATGGTGTCCTGGTGTCTCCTACAGGAGGGAGGTGGACCGGCTGGTGTCCTGGTGTCTCCTACAGGAGGGAGGTGGACCGGCTGGTGTCCTGGTGTCTCCTACAGGAGGGAGGTGGACCGGCTGGTGTCCTGGTGTCTCCTACAGGAGGGAGGTGGACCGGCTGGTGTCCTGGTGTCTCCTACAGGAGGGAGGTGGACCGGCTGGTGTCCTGGTGTCTCCTACAGGAGGGAGGTGGACCGGCTGGTGTCCTGGTGCAGTGGTAACAACCTGGAGCTGAACGCCCAGAAGACAGTGGAGATGATTGTGGACTTCAGGAAGAGCACTGTCCCCCCGCCCCCACCCTCCGTGATGGACTCCCCCATCACCTCTGTGGAGTCCTTCCGTTTCCTGGGCACCACCATCACCCAGGACCTCAAGTGGGAGCCGACCATCAGCTCCCTCATCAAGAAGGCCCAGCAGAGGATGTACTTCCTGCGGCAGCTCAGGAAAGCCAAGCTGCCTGCACAGATGATGGCCTCCTCCATCACCTCCTCCAGCACCTCCTCCGTCACCTCCTCCATCACCTCCTCATCACCTCCTCCATCACTTCCTCCATCACCTCCTCCATCACCTCCTCCATCACCTCCTCCATCACCTCCTCCGTCACCTCCTCCATCACCTCCTCCATCACCTCCTCCGTCACCTCCTCCGTCACCTCCTCCGTCACCTCCTCCGTCACCTCCTCCGTCACCTCCTCCAGCACCTCCTCCGTCACCTCCTCCAGCACCTCCTCCGTCACCTCCTCCGTCAATCTCCTCCGTCACCTCCTCCGTCACCTCCTCCATCACCTCCTCCAGCACCTCCTCCATCACTTCCTCCGTCACCTCCTCCATCACCTCCTCCAGCACCTCCTCCATCACCTCCTCCGTCACCTCCTCCATCACCTCCTCCATCACCTCCTCCATCACTTCCTCCATCACCTCCTCCATCACCTCCTCCATCACCTCCTCCGTCACCTCCTCCGTCACCTCCTCCATCACCTCCTCCATCACCTCCTCCAGCACCTCCTCCATCACTTCCTCCGTCACCTCCTCCAGCACCTCCTCCATCACCTCCTCCGTCACCTCCTCCGTCACCTCCTCCGTCACCTCCTCCATCACCTCCTCCATCACCTCCTCCATCACTTCCTCCATCACCTCCTCCATCCATCCTCCTCCATCCCCTCCTCCATCACCTCCTCCAGCACCTCCTCCATCACTTCCTCCGTCACCTCCTCCATCACCTCCTCCAGCACCTCCTCCATCACCTCCTCCGTCACCTCCTCCATCACCTCCTCCGTCACCTCCTCCATCTCCTCCTCCATCACCTCCTCCATCACCTCCTCCATCTCCTCCTCCATCACCTCCTCCGTCACCTCCTCCATCACCTCCTCCGTCACCTCCTCCATCACCTCCTCCGTCACCTCCTCCATCACCTCCTCCATCACCTCCCCATCACCTCCTCCATCTCCTCCTCCATCACCTCCTCCATCACCTCCCCCATCACCTCCTCCGTCACCTCCTCCGTCACCTCCTCCGTCACCTCCTCCGTCACCTCCTCCGTCACCTCCTCCGTCACCTCCTCCGTCCCCTCCTCCATCACCTCCTCCAGCACCTCCTCCATCACTTCCTCCGTCACCTCCTCCATCACCTCCTCCAGCACCTCCTCCATCACCTCCTCCGTCACCTCCTCCATCACCTCCTCCGTCACCTCCTCCATCTCCTCCTCCATCACCTCCTCCATCACCTCCTCCATCTCCTCCTCCATCACCTCCTCCGTCACCTCCTCCGTCACCTCCTCCGTCACCTCCTCCATCACCTCCTCCGTCACCTCCTCCATCACCTCCTCCATCACCTCCCCCATCACCTCCTCCATCTCCTCCTCCATCACCTCCTCCATCACCTCCCCCATCACCTCCTCCGTCACCTCCTCCGTCACCTCCTCCGTCACCACCTCCATCACCTCCTCCAGCACCTCCTCCGTCACCTCCTCCGTCACCTCCTCCGTCACCTCCTCCGTCACCTCCTCCAGCACCTCCTCCATCACTTCCTCCGTCACCTCCTCCATCACCTCCTCCAGCACCTCCTCCATCACCTCCTCCGTCACCTCCTCCATCACCTCCTCCATCACCTCCTCCATCACTTCCTCCATCACCTCCTCCATCACCTCCTCCGTCACCTCCTCCATCACCTCCTCCAGCACCTCCTCCGTCACCTCCTCCATCACCTCCTCCAGCACCTCCTCCATCACTTCCTCCATCACCTCCTCCATCACCTCCTCCATCACTTCCTCCATCACCTCCTCCATCACCTCCTCCGTCACCTCCTCCGTCACCTCCTCCATCACCTCCTCCAGCACCTCCTCCGTCACCCTCCTCCGTCACCTCCTCCAGCACCTCCTCCATCACTTCCTCCGTCACCTCCTCCATCACCTCCTCCAGCACCTCCTCCATCACCTCCTCCGTCACCTCCTCCATCACCTCCTCCATCACCTCCTCCATCACTTCCTCCATCACCTCCTCCATCACCTCCTCCGTCACCTCCTCCGTCACCTCCTCCATCACCTCCTCCAGCACCTCCTCCGTCACCTCCTCCATCACCTCCTCCAGCACCTCCTCCATCACCTCCTCCGTCACCTCCTCCATCACCTCCTCCGTCACCTCCTCCGTCACCTCCTCCGTCACCTCCTCCGTCACCTCCTCCGTCACCTACTCCAGCACCTCCTCCATCACTTCCTCCAGCACCTCCTCCATCACCTCCTCCGTCACCTCCTCCATCACCTCCTCCATCACCTCCTCCATCACTTCCTCCATCACCTCCTCCATCACCTCCTCCGTCACCTCCTCCATCACCTCCTCCATCACCTCCTCCATCTCCTCCTCCATCACCTCCTCCATCACCTCCTCCATCTCCTCCTCCATCACCTCCTCCGTCACCTCCTCCGTCACCTCCTCCATCACCTCCTCCGTCACCTCCTCCATCACTTCCTCCATCACTTCCTCCATCTCCTCCTCCATCACCTCCACCATCACCTCCTCCATCACCTCCTCCATCACCTCCTCCATCACCTCCTCCATCACCTCCTCCATCACCTCCTCCTTCACCTCCTCCTTCACCTCCTCATCACCTCCTCCATCACCTCCTCCATCACCTCCTCCATCACCTCCTCCATCACCTCCTCCATCACCTCCTCCATCACCGTGTGGTTCGCTGGAGCCACAGTCAGGGACAAACAGAGACTACAGTGCATTGTGCGCTCTGCAGAGGAAGTGATCGGCCGCAGCCTTCCATCGCTGCAGGACCTGTACGTCGCCCGAGCTCGAGGCCGGGCTGGTCGTATCACAGCCGACCCCTCTCACCTGCACATGGACTATTCCAACCACTCCCCTCTCACCTGCACATGGACTATTCCAACCACTCCCCTCTCACCTGCACATGGACTATTCCAACCACTCCCCTCTCACCTGCACATGGACTATTCCAACCACTCCCCTCTCACCTGCACATGGACTATTCCAACCACTCCCCTCTCACCTGCACATGGACTATTCCAACCACTCCCCTCTCACCTGCACATGGACTATTCCAACCACATCCCCTCAGGCAGGAGGCTGCGGTCCATCAGGACTAGAACCTCCCGCCACAAGAACAGTTTCTTCCCCTCTGCTGTTGGACTCTTGAACACTTCTTAACCTGTCCCCCCGCCCTTTATAAAGTCACTTTACTGCCCATCATACGTCACTTTACTTCACTGTACTGCTGTCACCTTACATTGTGTGCACCATGTGCACTTGTATATTGTAAATAGTAACTGTAACTCTATTTTAAATTTTACATTTATTCTTTAGAAGTGTTTTTTATTCTTATTTTTATTATCTCTTTTTGACTGTTGCACTGAGCCAAAGCAATTTCCAAGTCAGTGACTTCCTGTTAGTTACATGGCAATAAAAATGATTCTGATTCTGATGAACGTATGATGAGTGCGTTCCTCTTCACCCTCTACACTGCGGACTTCAGACACAACACGGACGGTTGTGTTCTACAGAAGTTCTCTGACGACTCTGCCATCATCAGACTCAGCTCCGAGGACGATGACACAGAGTACAGAGGAGTTATACAGGACTTTGTGGACTGGTGTCAGCGGAACCACCTCCTCATCAACGTGAGGAAGACCAAGGAGATGAACCACCTCTTCATCAACGTGAGGAAGACCAAGGAGATGGTGGTGGATTTCCGTAGACGTCATTCTGCCGCTCCAGCTCCAGTGAACATCCAGGGAAAGGACATCGAGAGAGTGGACTCTTACAAGTACCTGGGTGTTCATCTGAACCACAAACTGGACTGGACTCATAACACAGACGCCCTCTTCAAGAAGGGCCAGAGCCGACTCTACCTGCTGAGGAGGCTCAGGTCTTTTGGAGTGCAGGGGCCACTCCTGAAGACCTTCTATGACTCTGTGGTGGCATCAGCCATCTTGTACGGTGTGGTCTGCTGGAACAGCAGCATCACAGAGAGGGACAGGAAGAAGCTGGAACATCAGGAAGTCCAGCTCAGTCCTGGGCTGTTCCCTGGACACAGTGCAGCAGGTGGGGGACAGGAGGGTCCTGAGCAAACTAACATCTATGCTGGACCATGACTGTCATCCCCTGCAGGACACTCTCTCTGCTCTGGAGAGCAGCTTCAGTGACAGACTTATTCACCCTTGATGTGTGAAGGAGAGGTTCCGCAGGTCTTTCCTTCCTGCTGCTGTCAGACTGTACAACAAACAATAAGGACCAATAAGGACTAATGAAGACTGCCAACTTGATTCCAGTGTCATTCTCGCATCGTTGCAATATCCTTACCTTATACCAGAATGTGCAATACACAGCTGCCATTATACAGTTGTAAACATACGGCTGCCAATATACAGTTGTAAACATACTGCTGCTAATGTACAGATGTAAACATACTGCTGCTATTGTACAGATGCTAACATACAGCTGCTAATGTACAGATGCTAACATATAACTACACTTTACTTGCACTAGATTACACAGTACTTTATACTTGCCTCTTATTTTGTCAATTTTAAATTTTTACGTCTATTATATTTTCAAGATAGAGATTTTATACTTATTATTGATGCTAGAGTTAGATTATTTTTATTTTGTTTAGTATAGCTATTTTTCACTTAACGTGTGCTGTGTGCTCCTCTTTCCTACTGTCCTATAACCTGTGATGCAACACCGAAATTTCCCCACTGTGGGACAAATAAAGGATCTCTTAATCTACTAATACAACTGCTTCCACTGAATTATTGCGTGACAATGCAGAATGTGCTTTTTGTGTGCAGACCACAGTTATTTGGCAGTATGTGATCTACTGTGTCTTGGAGCATATTTTTATGTAAAACCTCTTGTTTTTAGGACGCCTCTATTGCTCATCGCTTCCACTTAATGCGAGAGAAACACCCGGAGAAGTTCAACAGCAGGTAACTCATCTGTCCTCCACTGAATACATTTTGCTCTTACGATCTATCTCCTCTGCGTCACCGTCTGACCCTGGTGTAATTAGTTAACGAGCTGAGCCTTATCCAGAAACCTAATATCAGATAGAGCTCAGCGGGTCAGCGAGAGGCCAAAACCACTCACATTTATGAAGTTTATTCTATTTTCATCTCCACTGAACTACATGGAAATGTCTTCGGCTGTTACTCCAAAGTCCCACTTTGTGTTGCTGCTGCAGTGTGTTTGTGTCGTGACAAAGTGTCACTTTGTGATGTTAATAAACCTCCTTAAAAGACTTTAGAGAAGTCAGTACAAACAACTATTTTAAAATGCTAGGTTTTAGGGCGGCACGGTGGCTGAGTGGATAGCACTCTCGCCTCTCAGCAAGAAGGTCCTGGGTTCGAATCCCGGTCGGACCAGGGCCTTTCTGAGTGGAGTTTGCATGTTCTCCCCGTGTCTGCGTAGGTTTCCTCCGGGTACTCCGGTTTCCCCTACCACTAAAAATATGTCCAATAGTTCTAGCATGCGCTTCCTGTACTGGCCCCTCCCATCTCTGTGTGGAGTGAGAGACAAATGCCCAAAAATAACAATTGTAAACCGCTTTGAGACTCAGATCTGCAGTGAAAAGGCGGTATATAAATAAATACTTACTTACTTACTTACTTTTGTTTTTTAAATAAACAAAGGGCGACAGTAGCTCAGTTGGTAGAGCATTGGCCTTAAGGCCAGAAGGTCGTGGGTTCAATACCCACCTCTGCACCTTCTCCATCGACTCCCACTGATGACTGCTGTCGTTGTGTCCTTGGGCAAGACACTTAACCCCACTTTGCCCAAAGCCCCCACTGAAAGATCAAGGCTATGCTCACAGTCAGAGAGCAGCCATCCTCCTGTGGACTCACCACCTGCAGAGGGTCAGTGAGGGGCTGGTGCTATGAGACTTGGGTGGCATCTCTGACTGCCACCCCCCTGACCCAGAAATGGATTAAAGGGTAGAAAATGGATGGATGGGTTTTGTTTTGCTCCTTTACAGAGTCAGACTTTAATTTATAAAAATAAGCGAAAGGGCCGGGCCACCTAACATTTATTTTCTCACTAATGACAAAAGATGTCTCCCCAACGGGAAGGGTCTCGCATCAGTAACATTTGGTGAACGAATCACACCACAACTTCTAAATCAAGTACATTTGTATTTTTCAGTCTTTTTGAAAAACACAAAGAACAGCGAGGTGCGAACGGTTCTGTCTTTCCACTTTTAAAGAAGGTGATTCGTAATGCAAAACATTCACATTAACATTAAACAGACAGGAGAATCCACACACTTCCTCTGGGGGCACAAACACAGGACACATTTGTAAATCTTTTTTTGCTCTTGGTGTTGGTGTAATGACGAAAATGACGTCTGGGATCGTGGCACAGACAGAAGACTGTTTTAGTTTTGGTATTTTGTCAATGGCAGAGACGAGACACCAACAAAGATTCACAGAATATTATACAGAGAAAAAAAACTGTGGAAATGTTTATAATGATGAATCCAGCTTTAACCACAGCTGCTTCAAAGTGAAATAAAATATCCAATGTTGTGCTCAGTTGTTAGCATGACTGTGTGTACACTGGTCCTCAAAGGGCTGGAGTACCGGAGAACTAGGACCTCATGTTGGTGTCCGGGATGAAGTTTATTTAAGTTTCTCTCAAGTTCCACTGGTTTCACTTTGTTTCTTTCTCTCAGACAGAATAAAGGCAGTACACAGTTTATATAGTCATTGTCACGTCACACATGGAAAGACGTGTCACACAGAGACAGTCACATCAGAGTCATAACATGGAGTCCTTGTAGAGTCCTTGTAGAGTCCTTGTAGAGTCCTGCACGTAGGCCATATTGCTATCTAATACTAACATTGGAACTAAAACCCTTTGAGGACCAGTTTGTCACCCCTGGTTTGTACAGTTTTGTAGATCCGTATCCATTTGGACACATTACCAGATAAAAGTGAATGTACAATTGTCTCTAATTTGAGAGCTTTTTACAGTCTATATGTGGATTTTTTATTCAGTGTGTGAATGATGAATACATGAACATGGCTAACTCCCACACTCGCTTGGGCGCGACATTGAAACCTTTACTGTAGTTTTTAAGCCAATGACTGAGAATCTAAACTGTTACGTTTTTCCCTGAATGACAGTGTAGTTGTGTGACTGGAGACTGTGTAGTTGTGTGACTGGAGACAGTGTAGTTGTGTGACTGGAGACTGTGAAGCAACACAATGACACTTGCACTTTGACCTGGTGAAGAATCACTCACTTAAGCCTCATCGTCTTGTGTGTCACTCAAAGCCCTGTATGCATTAGTATTTGTTTTGTGTGCCCCTCCCCCGCTCTGGCCTGGAGCTTTGGGGGAGGGGCCAGTGAAGTGCGACTGCTCTCACCTCAGACAGAGCTCTTCCATCAGGGCTAATGATCTTGGTCCAGACCTTTAGGAGCCCAAAGCCCTGGTGCTAATGACTCCCACAATGAACCACACGTGAAGAAGACACTGAATAAATCTGCTCCAGACTCATGTGCCGCGTGCACCAGGACGCCGCGGCAGTAAAACCTCAGAGCTG